GGGATGGCAATATAGAAGAATGTGTCTTCGAGGATGACAGCCAACCAACCAGTTTTGAACATGAAGGGACAGGATGATGGAGGCAAGATACCATTTCTTCCTTTAGATAATTTTCATTAAAGGTCCCCGAAGGACAAGAAAGAGGATGGATAGGGGTTAACGACTGAAACTGGATGGAACAGCTACAGGAGGTAACAGACAGATGGGTATTGGAAGTGATGTCCCAAGTCGAATGGGAGAACGAAAGCCAGTATCTACAAGACAGAGTTTGGAGATGGCTTTTGAGTGACTTTAGTGTGGTTTTCTACCTTCACATCAAACCTGCTGTTCTGGAAGCAGCTGTAGACTGCTCAACAAACAAGGAAGATTCTCTTGGACAAGAGAATCTCAGCTTCTCCCTTGTTAGGTACTCAGAAGACCACTGTTGAGAGAAGGCAAGATGTCTTCTGCCTCGATTGACATCCTAGTATCTGAAGGTCTTACAATTTGGGGCTGAGGTGTAGATGCCCCCAAAAAACTGTGTGGGTCTGGAATCCTATAGGGAGTGTAGTGATTCATCCGTGTACAAGTTAAATAAATCTGTGCTTTCAAATGACACATCCTCAATTGCATTTCGCTGAACGCCAGAGACTTGCAGCAATGAAGCAATGGGCAGCCGCCACAGATCAAGCTGTGTCTTATTTGTCTATTGCTGACTGTACGTGTTTTAGCCATAAGTCCTCTTCAACCACTCTTCAACCAATTGAAATGCCTTTCAATTCCCCACTCAAATCTCAGAGGAGTTTAGCTAGATGGAGAATACCTGACCCCATGTGAGATATTTTGCATTTAAGCCCTGATGATTAGCAACTCATAGTTCCAGTGATCCTGAAAAATAGGCTTTTCTCCAAAATAAATCTCATTTCTTTTGTCTTTTAGAATGTTCTTAAATTGCTTGGTCTTTTCATGAACCACATTAAATCATCAACAAACCCAATGTTGGATAGATACAGAACTGTTCAAACTCCTTTTGGGGTAACCAATGTTTCTTTTCTGCTGTCTTAGCCAGAAGAGGCAGCGTGGCTGGTGCCCGTCACTCTTTGCTGGATTAATAGGCCCTCACTAATTGCGGTCCCAGCAAAAACAGAAGAATGTAGAATACCAAAGAGCTTGTGAGATTTTTTCTTCTATCACAGATGTTCTATCTTGAGAGTCTCAGCAATGAGGAAGAGCAGCTCCAGCCGTGCTCTAAAGTCATCGAAGGCTGATACATGATCTGAAGGGAAAGCCTCATTCGGAGAAGCTGAAGATGAGGTGTGTTGCTCAGGGGGTATGAATGCCCATTCCTCCTCTGCCAGCTGCTGCTGTTCTTTCCTGTCTGCAGATAAAGATCAAGACCCTCTATACTTCCTTCTATATCATTTAAGAAGGATCAGCCCCTGGATGCAGGTCCCTGGTATGCCTATAGGGCTAAGGCAGAGCATTACATTGGTAAGGCTTGTTCTGATAGGGTTGACCAGGCCATTGCCCTGCCAGACAGGAAGACACTGGGGCTCTAAAATGGAGTCCCTGGTCTGCAGAGAGAAACCTTTGCCTGACCGGTCAGAAAAAGGTTCCCTGCTGGATAGTGGAGAAGTAGTACGTACTGGAGATGAAGAACAAACATCTTCTAGAGGCAGGACCAATCTTCAAGACAGCCTCAGTACTGGGAGATCAGAAATAATGCAGTACTGAATGTAAACAGGGGTGCTAAGGGTGGTGCAGGGACATAATTATCTCCTTCAACATTGAATCAGGTGGTACATTTAAGGCCTCCATTGACAGGGCCAATGTTCATGCTGATGTTTACTAGTTACCAGTATTTTCAGGTATGGGTACCAAATGTGACTTCAGTTCAATGGCCACTGCTAGTCAAAGATTTTTGACCTGAAGAGCATGAGGTTCATGCAAAATTAGATGGGATCCATGTGGTCACATACTCTAAGAAGAAACATGTTTTTATCATGAAAAGTGGCAAGTCAGTTTGTATCAGTCTTTAACACCTTTCCAAACACACGGATCTTAAAACATCAGCAGGAACTTCATGCAGAAACTTCATACTGTCACACAATTCCACTGTCCTGGCTTCTCCCCAGTATTAGAGATAGGATCCCTGACCCTGTCCCAAAAATCCCCCCTCATTTTATGACTGTGTATGCAGAGACGAAAAATATGTGAAGATAATGCTGACAGTCCTCAAACTTGCAAATCTCCCATGGATTTCAAGGGTGATAATGGCAAAGAGCCACTAACTCCCCAGCTTCAGAACTGTAATCACCTGAAAGAGGTATCCACAGTGAAGAGAAAGGATGAAAATATATGTATTTTCCACACAACTCCCTCTAATTTCTTTCCTTTCCACACAACCCCCTCTAATTACTTCATTTTTAAAAAATTCTGCAGCCTACCACCCAAATATTTGCATTTCCAGAGGACACAGTCTGACCCTTAAAGAATTATTTTGTTCTCCTATACAGTACAGTTTGACTGTACTTCAAGCTCCCCTCCAAAAGAGTGTTTGTTTACAAAGTTTCAGGATTTTACTTTTTTTTTTTTTCAAAACATCAACTTTTTGTACAGTACTTAAACTTACTTCCATCTTGAGGGATGGGAGTGGAGGCTTCAGACAAAATTGCTGGATTGGAAGGGTTTGAAGAAAAGGCAGTCTGGGCCTAACAGGAAAAAGGAATTCACATGCATCATTCTGTACAAGAGAGACTATTAGATAATTATGTAGTTGCAAGGTCAAATGTTCAGGTTTTTAGGAAGTAAGCTCGTTAAATTAAAAAGCCAAAACTTCAGAACTCATTCTTGGATCTGAACACTAATTCATATAAATGGAGTCTTTTTCAATGGTGTTAAAAATTGCTTAATTAAATTAAATATCACTTGTCAAAGGAGCTTACGGCTGTGACTTTCTACAGAGAAAAAGCAAGGGCAACAGCACAAAAAGGTAGTACCTTATAAAGAAAGAGGGTTGGTAAATTAACTAAGTGTACTTACTAAAACAGACTCAGAATTTAAGATATTTACACTAAACTTCTCATCCAGAATACATGATGAGAAATCTACACTAATAATACACTAAGAAATTTAAGTTGTTCTGAAATGGCACTGTTTAAATGTAATATGAAATTTATAAAAACTTCAGCAATTGCAAATACCCAAAATATTTTCTTTTAGTTCAGTAATTCATAAGGACCTTCAGAGTCTAGATGTCTCACACTCATCCAATCACACCTACCTCTTCTTGTGCGACCCACAGGGATTAAATTGTGAATCAAAGCTAAAATGTCAACAATCCTTTAAGATTAACAGCTCCTATTCAGAGAAGCAGTTAACCTTCTAATTAGATTTGTATACAGAACTTGAGAAGTGGGTTATTACAAGAGAGGACACAATGCTTACAGCTAATGCCCCCCAAAAATACTCTCTATTTATAAATTAGTATTTGCTAGTCACTGGAAGAGAGTAAATGATAAGCTTATGTGTAATGCTACATATTTCCTTCCTTTTCAGTCTCCCCATCTTTCAGTAGTTTTAGAGAACACACACGTTTTCTACGCCTCTGAATGCAAGCCAGGTACTACTGACCATTTAAAAATTACCTTTAATCATAGAATCATAGTTGCCACAGTTCATGGCTATCTGACGTTTTACAATTGAATTAAAAGAACACAGGCATCAGCATTATGATTTAACAACCTAGTTCAACACACTGGTCAAATTAACCAACAATTTAAGAAAATAAAGCCACCACTAATAATGCCTTCTCTGGAAAGCTGTGGATTAGAAGTCAAACGCAAGTTGCACTTGAAAATAAGTCTGAATAATAAATGAAAACAATTGTAATGGTTAAATATGACAAGCCATCTGGGGGTTAGTTTCCAGTTTAACTATTCCTGTTCAAATCTGTCCTTTTAATCTATACTCACTGGCTGAGTCTAGAGAATTTGTGCTTTTTTCTTCAAATGAAATTATTGAAGGGGAGGGAAGGTCTCAAATCTCAACTACTACAAAAAGCTTTAATATGTATCCACACTTGACTTGCTTGCGACACCAATCACTAACACTGGTAATACAAAAGAAAAAACATGTTCAAACACAGATGCCTCTAAGACAACCAGGTTACTGCATAGCTCAACTTCTAGCGTGGACAGGCCCTCATAAAGGCTGGTTAGCAGGATTTATTAAACTTAAAACTTTACATCAGACCACATGCTGGAGCACCAAATAGTTTAATCTTTATCACTGAGAGTAGCAGTGAAACTGGAGTGGTCCAAACCTAGAACATTAAGATCAATTAACTGTCCCCCAAAAAACACATATTTGTTCAACATAGTATTCCGGGATGCAGACTGTGCTTTGAGATCAAAATTTGAAGTGGGGTTGGAAATAACTTGACAGTACTTATATTCAAGGGGTTATTTTCTTTTTATTACGCACACTCTAAGTGAGACGTGCAAAGTGTGTATACTGACCTGTTTAGCACATCTGAATAAAAGGAGTAATTTTGTTCTAGAAAGAGAGGCAGCTTTTAATCAGCATTTTGTTACTCACTGGTTTACTGTATGATCTAACTTTTATTTGCTGCAGCCTTTATCATTAAAATAAAATGTACCTCTGTTATCTTTAAATTGTCATTTTGATATAAGCAGAGAAGTTGCTATCAATTTTGAGATACCAGCAAACAAACAACTAGTTGGTTAAAAAAAGCATAAGTGTGCCATATGGATAACTAAGATTTACACTGAAATATTTGAAAGAGCAAGCTCTCCTAATTTAAGTATTAATATCCAATCCATCCAAATAGGTGGCAAAGTACAAAAAAATAAAGACTTTATAGTAATTAAGTATTAAATGTAGTACCCACACATTTAACATGAGAAACTTGTTTTAGATATGAAAATCTAATTATTAATTGAACTGTTCATTTTTAACTAGAACTTATCTCAAAAAGAAGTCTATATATTTCAACATACCTGAATTACCTTGTCCACTTTCAGATCTTCCAGAGAAGGATAGAGAGACATTTTTGTGCAATTTCCACTAAAGAAAAATAAGAACATTATTTTAATAATCGAGTTATTTTACTCCCAAACAATATAAAATGCCAAGTAATGTTTGGAAGTTGGCTATGTTAAAAGCTCCTGTCCAGAAAAGTGAATTTCTGTGAGCAAACAAGAGTAAATCATGTTATAGAAGAAAGATGAAACCCTTATTTGATCTGTAGTCTAAAGTCTTGCTTAATGCTGAACAAAAAACTTCAGGATAGATTGATGCACAGGACATTACTGCATTATCATCATCATGACTTCTATTCTACCCACCAAAGAACCTCCAAATGTTCAATTTTACTGAAAGATAGATCTGGAATGTAAACAGAACTTCTAAAGGAGATAACTGTGTTCCAAAAGAAATATTTTATTCTATAAAGGTGGATTTCTAGGAAGCCAAGATTCACAGAACCACAGGTTTAGATGGGGCCACAAGGGTCATCTAGTCTAACCCCCTGCTAAAATGCAGGGTTTTTTGTGTCTAAATCAGGGGCCTCAAACACGCAGCCCGTGGGGGTGGAGCGGCTCCAGTGCGGCCCGGCACGCTCCGGGGGCAAGGGCAAGATCCCCACCTGCCTGCCCTGTCCCCGCGCCACTCTGGGAAGCAGCCGGGACTTGGGGGATGGGGGGCACAGGGGTCTGTGTGTTGCCCTGTCCGTGCCTCCAAATACCTCCCTCAAAGCTCCCATTGGCCGCAGTTCCCCGTTCCCGGCCAATAGGAGCTTCGGGGGAGGTGCCTGGAGGCACAGCCAGGGCAACACACAGACCCCTGTGCCGCCCCCTCCCCCAGGTTCCAGCGGCTTTCCAGAGTGGCATGGGGGCAGGGCAGGCAGGCAGCCTGCCCTGCCCCCAGTGTATGCCAGGCCGGAGCCCGCCCCCAGAACCCTTCCTGCAGCCAAACCCACTGCCGCACCCCGTGCCCCTCCTGCACCCGGACCCCCTGCCCTGAGCCCCCTGCTGCACCTGAACTCCCTGCTGCACCCCGACCCCCTGCCCTGAGCCCCCTGCTGCACCCCTCCTGCACCTGAACCCCTTGCTGCACCCCAACCCCCTGCCCTGAGCCCCCTGCTGCACCCTGCACCCCTCCTGGGGGCAGGGAGGGGGTGGAGTTGGGTGGAAAGAGGTGGGGCAGGGCCTCATGGAAGGGGTGGGGCAGTGGGGGGAGGGTGTCAGTGATGCAGCCTTCAGGACAATGTACTAGTCCTCATGTGGCCCCCGTGGTCATTTGAGTTTGAGACCCCTGGTCTAAATCATCCAAGACATACAGCTAATCCAGCCTCTTTCTGAAAACCTCCAGCAAAGGAGATTCCATGACTTCCCTAAGCAGTTTGTTCCACTGTTCTTCCAGTTAGGCAGTTTTTCCTGAGATTTAATGTAAATCTGCTATGCTGTAATTTGAACCCATTGCCTCTTGTCCTGTCCTCTACTGCAAGAGAGAACAATTATTCTCCATCTGTTTTATGGAAGTCTTTCCAGTATTTGAAAACTGCTATCATGTCCGCCCTTAATCTCTTTTCAAAACTAAACGTACCCAGTTCCTTCAGGCTTTGCTCATATGGCTTGCATTCCATCCCTTTGATCATCTTTGTTGCTCAGCTCTGGAATCTTTCCAGTTTCTCTATATCAGGACCAAAATTGAACACAGTAGTCCAGCTGAGGTCTAACCAGCACCAAGTAAAGTGGTACTATCACCTCCTGTGACTTGAGTGCTATGCCTCTGGTAATGCAACCCAAAATTGCATTTTCTTTTATTTGCAACAGCACCACATTGTTTACTCATGTTAAGGTTGTGATCCACCACAACTCCCAGATCCTTCTCAGCAGTGCTGCTGCCGACAAGCCAGTTATTCCTCATTCTCTATTTGTGCATTTGGTTTTTCTTCCCTAAGTGTAGCACCTTAAATGTGTCTCTATTTAATTTCATTTTGTCTATAGCCCAGTTCTCCAAGTGAAGGCCCCTTTGAATTTCAGTTCTATCCTCCAAAGTGTTTGCAACCCCCCACCTCCTCCCAGCTTTGTATTATCTGCAAATTTAACCAGTATGCTTTCTATTCCTACATCCAGGTCATTAAAAAAGATAAGTAACACTGGACTGAGAACAGATCCCTGTGAACCCCACTTGAGGCCTCCTTCCAATTTGACATTCTATTAACAGTCACTTTTTTTGCAGTTATTTAACCAATTATGTATCCACTTAATGGTAGTTCTACTGAGCCCACATTTCTCCAGCTTACTTATGAGAATGTCACATGGGACTGTGTCAAAAGCCTTGCTAAAGTCCAGGTGTATTATGTCCACTGCATTCCCTCTATCCACCAAACCAATTACTTTGTCAAAGAAGGAATCAAGCTGATTTGGTATGACTTGCTTTTAGTAAATCCATACTGGCTGCTAGTGATCACCCCTTCACCCTCCAAGTATTTGAAAATTTACTGTTTACTACCCTTGCATAGCTTCACAGGTATTAAAGTCAGGTTGACTGGTCTATAGCTCCTTCTTTTCCCCCTTTTTAAAGAGGAATACTACACTGTCCTGGAGAAGGGCTTTCTCCTGTCATCCATGAGTTTCCAGGGGCTCCAAGATTTCTTCAGCCAATTCCTTCAGCACCCTGGGGTGAACAGTATCAGGCCCTGCTGAATTGAATTCATTCAAATTAGTCAGAAGATCTCTGACATGTTCTTTACTTAGCCTGATCTGCATTCCTTCCCTTTTATTGCACTGTATGTAAGGGAGCAGTATGACTGCTCAGAGCTCCGGTACGAAACTGCAGAAAAACCTGAGTGTCTCTGGATTAAGTTTAGAAGTGTGTGCAACAAGAGTGATGTAGTGGTGGGAGTCTGCTATAGACCACCGGACCAGGGGGATGAGGTAGATGAGGCTTTCTTCCGGCAGCTCACGGAAGCTACTAGATCGCATACCCTGATTCTCATGGGTGACTTTAATTTTCCTGATATCTGCTGGGAGAGCAATACAGCGGTGCATAGACAATCCAGGAAGTTTTTGGAAAGCGTAGGGGACAATTTCCTGGCGCAAGTGCTAGAGGAGCCAACTAGGGGGGGCGCTTTTCTTGACCTGCTGCTCACAAACCGGGTAGAATTAGTGGGGGAAGCAAAAGTGGATGGGAATCTGGGAGGCAGTGACCATGAGTTGGTTGAGTTCAGGATCCTGACGCAGGGAAGAAAGTTAAGCAGCAGGATACGGACCCTGGACTTCAGGAAAGCAGACTTCGACTCCCTCAGGGAACGGATGGGTAGGATCCCCTGGGGGACTAACTTGAAAGGGAAAGGAGACCAGGAGAGCTGGCTGTATTTCAAGGAATCCCTGTTGAGGTTACAGGGACAAACCATCCCGATGAGTCGAAAGAATAGTAAATATGGCAGGCGACCAGCTTGGCTTAACGGTGAAATCCTAGCGGATCTTAAACATAAAAAAGAAGCTTACAAGAAGTGGAAGGTTGGATATATGACCAGGGAAGAGTATAAAAATATTGCTCGGGCATGTAGGAATGATATCAGGAGGGCCAAATCGCACCTGGAGCTGCAGCTAGCCAGAGATGTTAAGAGTAACAAGAAGGGTTTCTTCAGGTATGCTGGCAACAAGAAGAAAGCCAAGGAAAGTGTGGGCCCCTTACTGAATGAGGGAGGCAACCTAGTGACAGAGGATGTGGAAAAAGCTAATGTACTCAATGCTTTTTTTGCCTCTGTTTTCACTAACAAGGTCAGCTCCCAGACTGCTGCGCTGGGCATCACAAAATGGGGAAGAGATGGCCAGCCCTCTGTGGAGATAGAGGTGGTTAGGGACTATTTAGAAAAGCTGGACGTGCACAAGTCCATGGGGCCGGACGAGTTGCATCCGAGAGTGCTGAAGGAATTGGCGGCTCTGATTGCAGAGCCATTGGCCATTATCTTTGAAAACTCGTGGCGAACCGGGGAAGTCCCGGATGACTGGAAAAAGGCTAATGTAGTGCCAATCTTTAAAAAAGGGAAGAAGGAGGATCCTGGGAACTACAGGCCAGTCAGCCTCACCTCAGTCCCTGGAAAAATCATGGAGCAGGTCCTCAAAGAATCAATCCTGAAGCACTTGCAAGAGAGGAAAGTGATCAGGAACAGCCAGCATGGATGCACCAAGGGAAGGTCATGCCTGACTAATCTAATCGCCTTTTATGATGAGATTACTGGTTCTGTGGATGAAGGGAAAGCAGTGGATGTATTGTTTCTTGACTTTAGCAAAGCTTTTGACACGGTCTCCCACAGTATTCTTGTCAGCAAGTTAAGGAAGTATGGGCTGGATGAATGCACTATAAGGTGGGTAGAAAGCTGGCTAGATTGTCGGGCTCAACGGGTAGTGATCAATGGCTCCATGTCTAGTTAGCAGCCGGTATCAAGTGGAGTGCCCCAAGGGTCGGTCCTCGGGCCGTTTTTCTTCAATATCTTCATAAATGATCTGGAGGATGGTGTGGATTGCACTCTCAGCAAATTTGCGGATGATACTAAACTGGGAGGAGTGGTAGATACGCTGGAGGGGAGGGATAGGATACAGAAGGACCTAGACAAATTGGAGGATTGGGCCAAAAGAAATCTGATGAGGTTCAATAAGGATAAGTGCAGGGTCCTGCACTTAGGACGGAAGAACCCAATGCACAGCTACAGACTAGGGACCAAATGGCTAGGCAGCAGTTCTGCGGAAAAGGACCTAGGGGTGACAGTGGACGAGAAGCTGGATATGAGTCAGCAGTGTGCCCTTGTTGCCAAGAAGGCCAATGGCATTTTGGGATGTATAAGTAGGGGCATAGCGAGCAGATCGAGGGACGTGATCGTTCCCCTCTATTCGACATTGGTGAGGCCTCATCTGGAGTACTGTGTCCAGTTTTGGGCCCCACACTTCAAGAAGGATGTGGATAAATTGGAGAGAGTCCAGCGAAGGACAACAAAAATGATTAGGGGTCTGGAACACATGACTTATGAGGAGAGGCTGAGGGAACTGGGATTGTTT